AGCACTGTTTTCATGGTACCATGGCATGCTTTTATCTTCATCCTCTGTTACCTAGCCTTGCTTCCATATTCTGTGCAATTCACAATTCCTAGCAATATTTTTTAATGTCTTTCTGGTAGCACGCTTTTTGCCCTTGTGAGTCACCAGAAGTGAGAGTTTCCATTGATTTCTAAGTCTTGGGAAACTTTCTGTTATGTCGTGAATGCATGCCTTGGGAAGACTGCAGGTTTTGTTTCTGTTTTTGTTTCTTTGTTGCTGTTCACTAAAGAGGTCACCAAAGCAGGCTACGCTATACTACACCAGCTACAACTACTCTTCTCTTCTTCCTTTGACCATTAGTTACTAGATGGCCTCTTATCTTATGGCTTCTGTGGCTCCATTACATTATTCTTTGAAGGATAAGAAATTTCTTCCTTCTTAAGTATACAGTTGTCTTTTCTTCCAAAAGAGCTTCTAGGGGGCATCTAGGTGGCACGTAGGTAGAGTTCTGGCCTTGGAGTTAGGAGGATTTGAGGTCAAGTCTGGCCTCAGACACTTGACACTTACTAGCTGTGTGACCCTGGGCAAGTCACTTAACCCCAATTGCCTCACCAACAAAAAAAAAAGAAAGAGAGAGAGAGAGAGAGAGAGAGAGAGAGAGAGAGAGAGAGAGAGAGAGAGAGAGAGAGCCTCCAATTTGTGTTTAAGTTCCAGTTGTATAGTTATCCTTTTCTCTACTGTGTCCCTTTCTTCTGTCCAACATCCTGACAAGCTCCAAGTCTCACCTCCTCCACTTCATCCCCTCTCCCATTTTTCCTATTAAAGCCTTGCATTTATTTTCCTTATAGACACTTAATTTTTCCTAACTCCAGTCTCCCTAAGTTAGCTATGTGATTTTTTTCCTTTTTATTCAACTCAGTTCCTTCTTTCTTTCTAGCCCTTTTTTTTTAACCTACCCTCCTACAAAAGGCAGAAGCAGGATCCCTTTTCTCCTGTTCCTCTTTGAAGTTCCTTCATGCATTACAGCCTTCTTATACCAAACATGCTTTTCTCTCTTTACCTCAGTGCGATGTTCATTTTCCCTTCTTTGGATACTGTTGTGTTCTGTGACACAGCCATATAATAATGTTAGAATGTTTGCATTACAAAGATGGATTTTTGTTTCTAGGAGAAGGGTGGGATCACTAAATGAGGCTTACAATGTTCTCAAGGTAATCGTCGCACCTTCTTCCTCCCATTTAAGTCTGGATTCAGCTCATCTGTTTGTACTGTCTGTCTCAGACATTTATACACTGATGGAGATGCCCTACAGCAGAGGTATGAAACATGTGCTCCACAACATTCCCAAGTGTGGCCGACCAGATTAAAATATAATTGGGAAATGTTTAACAAACAAAATAAAAATACAGTAGAACATAGAAGATATTAATATGTGGTTTTCTAAGTCAATATGTGGTCCACAGGGATTTTTATGTATGGTTATGTATAGGTTTAATGGCATCTGTTTCAAAATGAGTTTGACACCATTGCTCTCCATCCAACTTGCACATCACCAATGTCATTGGTCCTCTTCAGAAACAGCAGACAAACAACAATCATCTGGGTAGTGCACATTCTTCATTCACTTTTTTTTTTTTACCTATGTGCATAGTTAAACCAAATTCTTTTGAATGGTTATGGATGACTTCCAGGAGCCTTTGCAGTATTCTGAGGCTTGATGCAGTCAGCATAATGTCATCTGCAAATGCAGTCATATGAAATATCTCACCACACCCAGGGAATCCTTCAACTTGTACTCTACACGAAATCTCCTCAATCACAAAGTCAGCACCTTTAGCGAGCACACATCTCCTTGCTTTATGCCTCACTTAATGTCCGTGATCAAAGTTAATGAACAAGGTTACTTCTGCAGTATAGTTTAAGAAATCTTGAATGATTGATTACGATGGAAAGATGAGAGATACTGTTTTGGAGAAGAGCCTTTAAGGTGGCATTTGCTCTACTGAATAAAATGCTTTTCATATAATCAGCAAACAATAAACACAGTGCACAGAATCTTACATTCTGTACATGCCTCAGGGAAAATGTCTACTTTGGAATATTGCTTTCAAAAGCCTGACTGTTCCCTCTGAACACTCTTGTCAAGAATATACTTAATGTGGGCAGCTAGGTGTCACAGTGGATAGAGCACTGGCCCTGGATTCAGGAGGACTTGAGTTCAAATCTGGTCTCGTACACATAATACTTACTAGCTGTGTGACTCTGGGCAAGTCACTTAACCCCATTGCCTAGCCAAAAAAAAAAAAAAGAATATACTTAGTGCATAGGTAGCTAGTTTTCATAATAATTTTATGTTGATGGGAAAAGTAGGCATATAGGTCATTTGTTATTGTTTTCGTAATCACTTTTATCTGCTTATGTATATTTGATCTAATTTGGTTGCTTTTTCTTTTTCCTTTATTAAAAGCCTGAACTAGTGTAAAATAGTTCCTTTGCAAATAAACATCAAGGCAAATATTTTTAAGCTGGTTTTACATGCCACTCTTTTTCTGTGCTTTATGAACTGATCTTTCATCTTTTCTCTCAGGAAGTTTTCACAGATGCATTTTTGTTTTAAATAGGTGTTACCTTTGGCTTCTATCTCTTTCCACTTTACCATGTAAGTCAAGCATTTCCTAACTAAACTATTTTTAGGATGTTTTTGTCTCTTCTTTATGGGTTAAATGTTCTGCGTAAAATGATTGTAATTGAGGTCAATGGCCTTTCTACACTCGATTCTCTTTTGAAATATTTAAATCTCTGAGTTTATTGATTCATGAAACCTGCCTGATGATGCGTATCAAAACCCATCCATGATTGTCCATTCCATGTCGTTCGTGTTCTCCCCTGCTCCACCCAACATGCCGGGGACCTTCTTTGGCTTCTCCCAGCATTGGAAAGGGATCAGTGGAGCTCCCTGCTTATCCATTACTCCTGCCACATGACTAGCCCATCTTCTCCTCCCGACATACAGTTCTTAATAATATCATTTCCTCTTGCTTTTCCTTAATGTTCCTTATTGGTTATGTGTTTTAACACACACCACTGACCTCTTCATTGCCCTTTCGTATTCCCAAAGAACTTGTACTTAATTTTTTAGATACAGTCGTGTTCCACAACTTGCTGCCATATAGCAACACCAGTAAATGTTAGACTGGGCCTTTACTATTACAGGATGCTTGGAGTCAGCAAAAAATGCTCTGTAGTTTCTCAAAAGCAATCTTCCTCTTTTTTTTTTTTTTTAACTCTGGGCCTACCTCACTCTAATTGCATTATCAGTCTCAGATTTACAGATAGGGGTGACATCTGAACAAAAGACTTTCTTCATCTACTTCGTCTTTTCTGTTTGGATGGGCAGGCCAAACTCCTTTGAGTGATTATAGATCTCTTCCAGAACTTCTGCAGTATTCTGGGGCTTGATTCAAGTTGCCTAACAACGTCCATTGAGGTTGATGGTCTTGCTACAGTTTACTCTCTTTTGAAATATTAAAATTTGTGAGTTTATTGATCCATTCATGCCTGCCCATTCTGTGTCAGTCTTACTCATTCGTGTTCTCCCACTTTACCATCCACAGGGCATCCCTCCTTCACGTGGATTATCTACTGAATATTTTCCATCACACTAACAAATACCCAAATGGTCAGAATATATCTTTTTGTTTTATGTCTCATCTGATGTTTATGATTAGAAAGTCACTGAATAAGGTATTGTTGGGTGTTTTTTCTGTCGGGAGACATCTTGCTGTACAAGAACTTGAAAGATGGTGATTGTTCTACCAAATCAAATTATTTTCCATAATCCACAAATAATAAGTTCCATGGGATCTTATATTCTCTACAATTCTTAGCTAATTGTGAGATGGTAATGATGGGGTCCATTGCTGAATATTGCTTGTGAAAGCCTATTTGTTTCTACTAATAACCTTATCAGAGATAACCTTAATTTGCATAAAGATGACTCCTATGAAGTTTTTATAGAGATGGGAGAGCAGGCATATAGGGTAGTCATTACTGATTTCTCTGGATTAGTTTCTTTTGGTATTAAAAAGGTCCAACATTTTTTCATGCCTTTAATAGCTTCTTTTTCCTTCAAATACTTTGTACTGTATATCAGTCCCTTAGCATCTTATAATTGTTAAATTGTCTTCAGAATGATTCTCCTCTATGATACTTGGTCCGATCCAGCTGCTTTCCTCATCTTTGTTCTGTAGGATTGTCTCTATCTCTTCTGCAAGCATACCTAGGACTGTATTGCTAGGGACCAAGAATGGTGGTTCCAGTGTCCTTGATGAGGAAAACAATTTGTCAAAATAGCTTTTATAGATCTTTTCCATTTTTCATCAGCTTCTTGGTTTTTTGTTTTTATTTTTTGTTTTTGCTACTTTTATCCTGTATAGAGTGATTAAGAGTAAAATGGAAAAAATAAACAGGGAAAAGGAGCAATACGAAAGGGTGTGTGTTGTTGTTTATCCTTTGTATGGAAGAAGAAAAGGTACAAAAAGGGAAAGAATAGGGGGGGAAATACCAGTTATAGAACAAAGGATCCCTTATTCTTGATTTTCTCTTCCGAGTTGGAGGTGAACCCTTTTGGATTCCTAAACCAGCTCGTAAGTAGAGTTTAGCAGAGGCTGTCAGTTGGCTAAGACCTCACCATTCCACATAATGAAGGGGAAACTGTGCTGCTGGCTTAGTTTCTGTTGTATGTTTCAGGACGTGCTAGACAGCCAAAGTATTCTGAAGCATGGCACTTACGTGTTTTCTCAAAGTTAATTGACTCCATTTTTTTGTGGCTTTGATTGTCAGTTTTCTCATGTTTCCAATGACTGACTGGTTTCTCTAATAGAAGAAAGTTTAAAACTGCACATCCGTTTAAAATGCTTGAACACTATTAGTAATGGGTAGCACACTACTTTGGTAGTTGGCCATAGTCTGTATTGTTGACTAGATTTGTGCTTCTTAAAGTTCTTGTTTTTCCCCCAAAGGTGTCTTACTTGCTGGAAGGAGGCAGCACAGCTCATGAGGATTTCTGTGGACACAGTGGTAAAATGGACCCTGGTGACTTGCAGGTATGCCAAGGGGAAAGGAATTATTGACAGTTTAATGGTGAACGATTAATTTATTAGCAGGTTTAGGTGTTATACCCTTAATTAAAAAAATTCTTGGTGCTGCTTAGGAAAATGTTAGATCTAAAAATCTCAACTATTGTGACATAATGTATCAACTTTACCAACAAAGTTGTTTACCATATTTGTAAAGTTGATCCAGTACTGTCTCTACACTGTTTTCAGGGATTATTTTAACATTTTATTTAAATGACATGAATGTTTTGATGAATTTTTTAATGCATGAAATTTTAAAGACAAGTGTCAGAGACAATTGCCCTCCTCTCAACCACCACCCCTGCCCCTGTGTCCAAAGAGAAGGCATCATGGCCAAACTCTAGCATTTTACCTAATGAGATAGTATTTATCCTGAAATCTGGACAAGAAACTGAGTATGACTTTTGGCTATATCAACAGAAGTGAAATGTACAGATCAAGGGATGTAATATCCCAATATGCTCTACATTAGTCAATGAACTCCTGGAATATAATGTTTGGTTTTGGCCACAGCATTTTAATGGAGGCACATCAGAGATGTATAAAAGATGACCAGAATGGTAAAAAAAAAAAATCATAGGACTATGGACTCTTAGATTTAGATCTGAAAGAAACCTTAGATGCCATCTAGTGCTTCCCCTTCGCTTCATTTTATAGTTGAAGAAGCTAAGGTCCAAGCAAATTAAATGACATACCTAAGATTACACAGTTAGAAAATAGAAAGACAATATTTGTGTTCTGGTCTCTCCTAAATTGAAGTCCAACGCTCTTCCTACCACACTGTGGACTATGTCATGTGAAAAATAATTGAGGAGCTGGAGAAGAGAAGGGTTAGAGAGGACATGATTGTTTTCTTCAAATATTGGAAGCACTATCAGGTGAAAGACAGAAAGATTGAATTTATTTTGTCTCTCCTCAGAAAGGAGAACCAGTGTTCAAGTAGAAGATGGATGAATATCTGTCAAGGATGCAGACAGAATCCTGTCATTACGGGAGAGGCTGGATTAAATAACCTTCTAAAGTTCTTTTCAGTCCAAGAGTCTATGAGTTAATCTTTCTGTCACCTTATATCTCTCGATTCTTTGTGATTTTGTCAATGCTATAGATAAGAGCTGTTTATCACTAAAGGGAATGAAATGACTTAATTTTTTAAATTGGATCAAAAATCCTTTTACTTTTTTTTTCATTGAGTGATCAAGCACTGTTCTGGATGTTTGGGCCATTTGGATGTTGGTTCAACATTTTTTTCTTCCTTGTTTCCTCTGAAATTTTATTTATAGTGGATGACTGCTGGCCGTGGGATCCTGCACGCAGAAATGCCTTGCTCTGAGGAAACTGCTCATGGTCTACAACTGTGGGTCAATTTGAGGAGTTCAGAAAAGATGGTGGAGCCTCACTATCAAGGACTGAAAAGTAAAGAAATCCCCAAACCCAGCAAGAATGGTGTGACAATATCTGTTATCTCAGGAGAAGCCCTAGGAGTCGAGGTAAAGTATGCTTTTGGAGTGTGTTATAAAATTTGCCCTTTCAAGGCTATACCTGTTTATACTGTTTTAATCATATGAGAGTTAGTCTAATTCAGTGGTGTCAAACACAAAAGAAACCAATCCCTGCAGATTGTATGTTGACTTAGAAAATCACAAATTAACATCATCTATGTCATATTGTATTTTTGTTTATTTTGTTAAATGTTCCTTAATTACATTTTAATTAGGTTCAGCCAATCTCGGGATTTTGATGCCTCTAGTCTAATTCCTATTATCATATCACCTCTTAGAATGGCTTTACAAACCAGGGTTAATTGGAGCCCTCCAATACGCAGAATTGTTATTGCACCAATCTGTCTTTATGTAGCAGTGACCACAAATTCATAGCGAGGATTTAATTTTTTTTTAAAAGCCTTTCACAGAATGACACAGAACCAATATAGATTTAGTTCATCTTCCTAGATTTGTGTTCTTACATGATGAAAACTAATTTTAATAATGATGACTATCAAAGAAAGATTAAGTTATTCTCAACTTTGTAAAGAAGGAATTACTTGCTAATACCTTCCCCATATTTTGGGGGAAGATTTTTCATAGAAAGAGAGCATTGATGAATCAGAAAATCCAATTAACCTGAGCACTCTGTTGCCAAGCATTCAGATAGATGGATAGATAAACAGATAACTAGAGCATATATTAAATGCTTGAGATGTGCCAGATCTAAGAGCTGAGAAGAAAAATAGAAGCAAACAAGACAGTCTCTGCCCTTAAGGAGGTTACATTCTAATAAGGGATAAAAGGAAGAAACTACCCAGTATGTTGGGGGCTTGAGCCATGGCAAAATTAGACTGGTGCTGGGACCCTCTGGGTTTGAACACAAGTTTCTGGTGATGTAGAAATGTCCAAGAGTAGGCAATTTGGGTTAATTTTTTTCTTTTGGGTTTTTTTTTTAGCATTTTAAAATATATTTTCTATAACATTCTTTTCTGATAGCATTTCTTTCAGCAGTCTGCAACATGTTTTGTTGTTGTTTTTGTGATGAGGAGTCAATGTGCTCAGTTTATTGCTATACTTTGAGAGCCAAGAATGGGGAGAGGGAAGTGCTGATAGGTTATGAGAGCAAAGATTAGGAGTGGGGAGGATTATGGCAGATAGTGAGAGTAGGTCACTGTGAGGCACTGACCTTGTTGTACCACTCTACTGTGATAATGAGACAGGTAAGAGTATTGGCTTTGTGGAGAGCACAGCATTTAAAGGTGTTTGCCATAGAATAGAAGAGAAGAGTTAATATTTCACTATCTCCATGGCTCATCGGTATTTAAAGTCTCTTGTGGAGAGCACAGCATTTAAAGGTGTTTGCCATAGAATAGAAGAGAAGAGTTAATATTTCACTATCTCCATGGCTCATCGGTATTTAAAGTCTCTTGAAAAGACAATGAACCATAGAGAGGGGTAAGGTGGTAGCCCAGAATTCACTGTTGACCAGTTCAGATGTCAGAATTACCTGCATGATAATATTTAACTGGTTGGGATGCCCTCATCCCCTTATTGCTTTTCCTCCACACTCCACCTGAAATATAACTTAGCCACTCTCTGATCTATAAATCTTTATTGTATCAAATTACCACAAATCAAATGGTATCAAATAAGATAATATTTGTAAAACGCTTAGCACAGTGCCTGGAATATAGTAGGTGCTTAATAAGTGCTTGTTACTTTTCCCCTTCCCTTCCCTTCCCACAAAACCACCGTGACCTTCTACTGTTGTCCTGGGGAACAAAAACTTTCTTTAATTCAGAGAAAGATGCTGTGGAAAAATAGCTCTATCAATAGCTAGCCTAAACTACTCACACAGAACTCACGTAAGAAACCACTACTCATATGGCACCTTGGCTTTTTTAGTTTGTCTCTGGAATCTATATCTGTTGCTTTAATCTAGAACAATTGCCTCTTTCAGCAACATCCTCTCTGGAAAGGGAAGAGAAATCAATTTGAGACCTCCCTAATAGAAGCTCCAAGAGTACTCAACTATGATACTACTAGGATGAAATTACTTATTAACTAAAAGTGCAAATTCATTCCACTTAATAAGCAAGCAGAGCTAGTGATGATGTATCTCCTTATGGCTTCCCATTTACTTTAGCTGAAGTGTGTGTGAGGGTGTGTGGGTGTGTGTGCGCGGATGTGTGCGCTGTGCTCCCATGCCTTATATGCATCTGGGCTTGTTCCATTTGTAATCAGAATTACAGCTGACATTTTGAAGAATTCTAAGACCAGACACAAAACAGCTGTATATTCTTGCAAACAAAACCAATGATTGTGAGCCAGATATATGTTTTAATTTTGTATGCACCACTTAGTTGCTTAAGAAATGGATTTTCAGGTAGCTCAATGGATGGAACAATGAGCCTGGAGTCAGGAAGGCCTGAGTTCAGTTTTGGCCTCAGGCACAAGCTGTATCACCCTGGGCAGGTTACTCTGTTTGCCTCACTTTCCCTAATCTGTAAAATAGAGATAATAGTAGTACCTAACATCCATAGTTGTTGTGAGGATCAAATGATATAATAATTGTAAAATGCTTAACACAGTGCCCGGCACATAGTAGGTGCTTAATAAATGTTTATTGACTGACTGACCGACCAGTCAGTCTGACTAGAGGGTTACTTAGAAAACTGAGGTTAAGTGACTTGCCCAGAGAATATAGCTAATATGTATTGGAGGCAGGATTTAAATCCAGGTCTTCCTGGCTTCAAGGCCAGCTCTCTATCTACTTTTTTTATGCCATTTTGCCTCTTTTGTGCTTCCATATGGCTACGAATTATGAAATATCTTGGTCTCAGAAGAGTCAAGTGGAAAAGTCAAACCTTTGGAAAGTTAAGGAGTAGTTGTTATGGGTAGGTTGCAATGTATTACCAGTGATGACTTGAATAAGAAGTGGCATAAAAGACTTATCTGACTGGAAAAGAAGATGGCCTGGTAATACAATAAAAATAAAGGATAATAGAACAGAATGAGTGTTGCACTGGTATTCATGAAATACTAAAAGATTGAAAAGAAGGCTTCTAGTTTGTTGGGGAGATCTTTATAAAGGATTTATGAATAGACATGGATGAAAGTCACATAGGATGAGAAAACATGAACGAGTCATGATCTCTCCTGGTGAAAAAAGTACCAATATTGATGAGGTCACGGATCCATGGAAGTATATGTACATTTAGATTGATTAATTATACTTAATCTAGGTGCAAAGATAAATCTGATATATCTTTGTGGCAAGTTTCTGTTTTTGTGATAAAGATCTAATTTGTAAGACATAAGAAACTGAGTCAAATTAATAAGAGTAAGAGCTGTTCTCCAACTGATAAATGCTCAAAGGATATGAGTAGGCAGTTTTCAGAGGAAGAAATCAAAACTATCAATAGCCACATAAAAATGCTCTAAATCATTAATAATTAGAGAAAGACAAATTAAAACAACTCTGAAGTACTACCTCACCCCCATCAGATTGGCTAAAATAACAAATAAAAGAAAATGACAAATGCCGGAAGTGCTGTGGGGAAACGAATATGTTGATGGAATTGTGAATTAATGTAATCATTCTGGAAAGCAATTTTGAACTGTCCTCCCAAAGCTATTAAATTGTGCATTCCTAGGACCTAGTGATACTTAGATCTATATCCCGAAGAAGTCAAAGAAAGAACAAAAGGACCCACATGTACAAAAATATTTATAGCAGCTCTTTTTGTGGTGGCAAAGAATTGGAATCTGAGGGGATGCCCTTCAATTGTAGAATAGCTGAACAAGTTATGGTACATGAATGTGATGGAATACTGTTGTGCTATAAGAAATGAGGAAGTTTGATTGCAGAAAAATGTGGGAAGACTTATGTGAATTGGTACAAAGTGAAATGAGTAGAACAAGGAGAACAATTTTTACAAAAACAATAAAATTTTAAATATAATCAACTTTGAAAGACTTCACAACTCTGATCAATACAGTGACCAACCACAATTCCAAAAGACTCATAATAAAATGTGATAGAGAGATAGAAAACTGATGGACTCAGTGCAGAGTAAAGCATATTTTCTTTTCTTTAGTTATTTGTTTTGATTGACTGCGTATTTGTCACAGACTTTGTTTTTCTTGCCTTCTCAATGGGAGGGAGGGAATTTGGAAATGAAAATAAAATAGAATAAAAAATATTTGATGGCAGCGAGACCTGTAATACCACTGCTACTGAAGAAATAAAGATGAGAACCCACAAAAGGTAGTAGTGGGGCATAGGGTGGGTGTCACCAGGATGTAACATATAACCAGTGAGGAGCTCTGAAGAATAACAGGAGTAAGGGATATCACCAGGGAATTTGCCTGACAGAAAGAAAAGATGAGCCAATCCTATGACTGGAGTAAGGATGCCAGGTGGATAGCCAGGCAGTTACATTGGTACTCTTGTTTTTTTTCTAAAACTGTACATATAAGTCTTTTTTAGTCAGAAATAACATAGATCAGAAACAATAGATGAACCTACGGTATGAGTTAGCATTTATTCTGAAGGAATAATAATAATAGCTAGCATTTATATAGCACCTCAAAATCTGAAAAGCACCTGTCAAACACCATTGATCCTCACAACAACCCTAAGAGGTAGGCACTATTATTATCCCTATTTTATCAAAGAGGAAACTGAAGCTGAGATATGCTAAATGACTAGTTCAGGGTCACACACAGTGTCTGAGGCTGTATTTGAGCCCCCATCTTCTTGATTTCAGTTCCAGTAATCTATTTCCTGCACCATTTAGATGCCTCGGTTAGGTCCAGGATGTATGAATCTTTTCCATTAAAAGATTCCTGAGGATTGTCCTAGCAAGTGGACGTGTCCTAGCAAGTGAATGGGTACATTGAAACTCTTGACTTGTTGGGAGAATATGAGATAAGCCTACAGCATATTGAGATGACATCATATGGTAAATTTTGAGGAGGACATGGATGAGAGTTACATA